ATGATATAGAAAAAAAATCATGAAATCACGTGCATGCACGTGTGCTGCAATCTGATTGGCTGAAACTTTAAATGGCTATTTCTCCTTTGTTTTTTGACGAAATTCTTTAAAATTTAAAATATAGTCATGCATTAGGATATCCTACAAAATGATATAAAAAAAATCATGAAATCACGCGCATGCACTTGTGCTGCAATCTGATTGGCTGAAACTTTAAATGGCTATAACTCCCTTGTTTTTCAACCAAACAGGATGGGATTTAGAAAATAGATAGATGTAAGGGACTCCTACAAGAAGGTGTGATCATCATGCACGTGCACGCACGTGCGTGCATTTGAAACGAGTATATTTAAAAATACTCTTGAATGAGTTAAATGTTTTACTTTTGGACTGAATGCTTTAATATATAGCATATTAAAATATATAAATAGTGTAGACAAGATGATATGGTCATAACGCACATGCATTCACATGCGCTTGGGTGCAAAGCTAAAAATTGAATATAATTGGTATCCTTCTGGGAAAACGTTGTTAAAGTCAAAAATGCACAGAGTTTGTCTTATTTAATGAAGCTTACAGGGAATATGGCACCGAAAGGGAGTTGGGGAGCGTTTGGGGAACATCTGTAACGGTTCCCGTTACAATTAGCACTAGTTATTCTTATTCTTATTTTTCTTCCTGGGAAAATTTTGTCCGCGAGTGATCTTGTAAACTACACATCCGACTTAGGTGAAACCTTTTTAGGGTAAGTAGGCATGTTATGTAGATTTGCGGAATCAAGGTCATTTTGCGCGCACGTGCTTGCAAGAGCGCGCACGTGCAAAACTTAAAATGACCAATATATAATGGATATAACCGTAACTTCTCTTTTTTTTGACGAAATGTTTTGAAACTTATAATGTAAAGATATATTTGTAGTATGCACAAGCTGACATGGTCAAAATAGCAAGATCGCACGCTCATGCACGTGTGCTTCGCTCTGATTGGCTGAAACTAAAGTCTCAATATCTTTTTTGTTTTTCGATAAAATCATTTGAAATTTTGAACATAGTCATACATTAGGGAGATCTACAGTCTGTAATATAAAATTTTTCATGAAAGCATGTGCATGCACATGTGCTTGCAAGAGCTCGCACGTGCAACACGAGGAAGTCCAATATAATTGATACAGACGTAACTATTAAAATTATTGATGAATTGCTTTGAAACTCATTTTATAAGTATATATTAGTAGTATGCACAAACTGACATGGTCAAAATAGCAAGATCGCACGTGCATGCACGTGTGCTTCGCTCTGATTGGCTGAAACTAAAGTCTCAATATCTTTCTTGTTTCTTGTCATAATCCTTTGAAATTTTGAACATAGACCTACATTATGAAGATCTACGGCATGATATATAAGAATTTTCATGAAAGCATGCGCATGCCCGCGTGCTGCAATCTGATTGGCTGAAACTTTAAATGGCTATATCTACTTTGTTTTTTGACGAAATGCTTTGAAATATAAAACATAGTCATGCAGTAGGATATCCTACAATATGATATAGAAAAAAAATCATGAAATCACGCGCATGCACGTGTGCTGCAATCTGATTGGCTTAAACTTGAAATGGCTATAACTCCCTTGTTTTTCAACCAAACAGGATGGGATTTAGAATATAGATAGATGTAAGGGACTCCTACAAGAAGGTATGGTCATCATGCACGTGCACGCACGTGCGTGCATTTGGAACGAGTGAAATGAAAAATACATTTGAAAGAGTGATTTTTCATACTTTTGGACTGAATGCTTTAATATATTGTATATTAAAATATGTAGATAGTGTAGACAAGATGATATGATCATAACGGACATGCATTCACATGCGCACGGGTACAATGCTAAAATTTGAATATAATTGGTATCCTTCTGAGAAAACGTTGTTAAAGTCAAAATGCACAGAGTTTGTCTTATTTAATGAAGCTTACAGGGAATATGGCACCAAAAAGGAGTTGGGGAGCGTTTGGGGAACATCTGTAACGGTCCCCGTTACAATTAGCACTAGTTTTAATTCCCTTTTCCTTCACCTCCTCAAATAGCCAGTGAAGGTCTTTGAAAATGTCACTGGCTCTTTGACACTCAAGGTATATGTTTAGCCTGTAAAAATTATGTGTTATACGTTCATATTTTATGTACAATAATATACCAGTTTATTTCTTCTTGTAAATAAAATGTTTGAAATCTGTACAATGTACCTGTCAGGAGATGCACTAAACATTTTCAAGTTGGTAGGTGAATCCTTGTAATTTGCCTCAAGATATGTTGTATACATGTGGCAGTTAACAATAAAAAGGGTGTGCTGGGGAAATGGGACCTCAGCTCAACAAGTCTGGCAAATGTAGATCTAAATGTTTCACGTAGATTAAAATTGAAGTATCATGCAATAGTCATTTACTACTTAAAATATTTCTGTTTATTTTATTTGAACATAGAAATTCTATTTCATTCAGAAGAAAAATATTTAGGTTGAGGAGTTAATTAATTAAAGTAAAAAAACAATGGAAAGGTTTTAATAAATAAAACACATCAAATTATCTTTTGTTGAATGATTGTGAAGTTTCCTTACCATGATTCCATAATGTGTGCCTCATCTATTGCTATAAGGTAGGCACTCTCTTTATAAATCTTAGAACCCAACAGCATGTCTTTTCAGGAATCTATATCTAGTAAAGTCTTTAGAGACATATGCAGCACAGAACAGAAAATTTCCCTTTCTTGACTCCTACATTGAAAAACAATATTTCAAAGGCTCATTACAACAGATGTGTATACACATCATCATCTACGTATTGTTTCTATATATTTTGACATACTTTTGTAAAGGAAAAATTTAGATATTTATTGCATTGTTTTTAAATTTTGGCCTTTAAGCACTCTTTATTAAGAAATACAGGAATGTATTGATTTAAATTCTAACATTATCCACAATATATATAAATACCTTCCACTACTTCTGAGGACATTTCATCTTTTGCTTGTATAACTGCTGTACTGATTCCATGATTGGCATTATGTTTGCACTGGTCAAGCATTAAACTCTTTAATGGCGAGACCAGAATACATGTATGGTGTAATTTGTTACTAAGTCTGTCAAATATCAAGGGTGGTAAAAGATAGCATATTCTTTTACAAAACCCTGTTGGAAAAACACCAACTGTGTGATTATGTTTTAGAATACTATCTACAACCCGTAGCTGTTCGTCCTTAAATTCAAATTGAAATGAAATTTCTCTTTAATTTCGTTGTTAAATATTTTGGTGACATTTGTGGGTCGCGCCATTTTGTCACACTGCAAAACTAACAACTACCTTAAGCCTCTGATTATTTATACCAATATTTTGACAAAAAATTAATTGAAAGTGTTTGCGTTTTCTCTGAAAAATCATTTAAATGTGTTTAAAAAAGAATAAAAGTCAAAGAAAAGTGTTGTCAAACTTTCTTTTGTACGAAAACGATAGAAAAACGAGGAACCGGTACTTTGTTTACGTTATCAACACGTGTGTTCCACATTCCATATATCACGTGTCTTTTTAGCGAGATCTCCAGATTGGCGAGATCTCACTAAGAGGTCAAAATGGCTGTCGAATGGCAGAAAGTTCAAAACAATCGAGTTCGTCGGCCTGTAGAGACGATTACAGAGGGTTAAAAGGTGGATAAAATGTACAGGTTTGTAGTAAAATATGTTTAGACTTGGGGAATAAACGGTAGCTGAGTGATCAATGATGGAAAGTGTAGATATTCATCCTCAACCGAGCGCAAAAAATCTTGCGCCGTAAATTGCACCTTTTTTGCATTACACCTGTACGGGATCTGTAGCGTTATGGTCAAAGACTACTATATAAAACCATAACGCTACAGATCTGCAGCTAGCCAATTACCCAACGCTTTGCGGAAAGTTTGGTTGGAATTGACCCAGTGGTTCTGGAGAAGAAGTTAAAAATGTGAAAAGTTTATAGACAAGACGGATGGACTACAGAGAAATTGTGATCAGAAAAGATCACTATCGGCTCAGGTGAGCTGAAAATGACGTCAATGCATGTTGCATGGTACCGTTACGGCATAGAAGGAAAGATAATTATACAAATTACCTGTAATACTGGTTTTATTATTTTTATGCCCCCGAAATCGAAGATTTGGGGGTTTATAGTTTTTGTCGTGCCCGTCTGTCTGTCTGTCCGCAAAAACTTTAACCTTGCCCATAACTTTTGTTTTAGTGAAGCTATGACTTTCATATTTCACATGTGTATTTCTTGCGACAAGACCTTTCCTTGGGTAGACCAAACTTGACTTTTTGACCTTGGAGTTTGACCCACTTTTCTACAAAAATTTGAACGGTAGACACTAGGACCTTCATATTTCACATATTTCTTCTTTATGGAAAGACTTTTTTTTATTGGATACCAACAATTTTGACATTTTGACCTTGAATTTGGACATACGTATGAAAAAACTTTTACCTTGACCATAACTTTTGAACGGTAAAGACTCGGGCTTTCATACTTCATATATGTAATCCTTGTGAAAAGACCTTTCATTGTATACCAAGAACTTCACCCTTTGACCTCGAACTTGGAATTTGACCTACTTTTAAAACCAAACCTAGACTATAACTTTTTAAGGGCTAGGGCTAAGGCTTTCATACTTATATTTATCCTTGTGACAAGACCTTTCATGGAATATCATTATCCTTTTCATTGACCTTCACCCTGGGAGTTTGACCTACCTTTCAAAGACGTATCCTTGGCCATAACTTTTGAACAGGTGATGCTAGGGCTTTCATATTTCACAATCACATTTCTTGTGAGAGGACCCTACTTTGGAACTCATATATTTAATTTGCATTCAAGAAAAGTTTAGTCTTCGCTATATTGCTATGAGGGGGCATCAGTGTTTCACAAACACATCTTGTTTATTTCTCAAATAACAGGTAGATTTGTTTTTAGAAAAAAAACAACAATGTGACACACACAATCTATTTTTTTTCTACCAATGAAAGTTGCAGATATATAGAATTTGTCTTAACGAATCCGTTAACACCGCACACGTTAAGTGAACGTTACCGGAAACGTTTAGGAATAATGTTTAAATTATATTATCACATCCTTTAGGGTATCCGTAAGGTTTATGTAGCTGTGGATGGCCTTGTGAATAAGGTCTCGAATTTAATTATTGGATTGAAACATTTAGCAAAGCAACTGACTATTCGACACTAGCGTCAATGTTTAAAAATTGAATAGACTATTCGACACGAGTGATAATGTTCAAAAATTGAATTGATATTATAACTGACAATGTACAACACTATATAAAGACCATTATTTTCGTTATCGATACGATTTAGAAGGCATGCATTCATCATCCTTAATATTCATAGTTTTTCTCTAAGCTTCAAGTGGATTTGATACCGTCTTCTTTATTTCAGTAAGAACTGCAATTAGTCGTGACTTGTCAATCTCCTCAATGAAAAATTCAACTTTTCCCCACTTCTTGAATCTTCTTCGTTCCTTCCAGTCGGACATATTTCCTTCGGTATATCCTGGTACAAACAAAAAGGCCTTCACCTTCAAAACAGGTACTTCAAATCCATCCACTCCAAAAGTTGTACCCCATTTTGTTTTGCATTCTTTGCAACGAATGATTCTCTTTTTGAATCTGGATATCTCGTCTGTTTCTTCAAATGTACAGCGATCTTCAAAGTTTTGGTCTATTACAACCCTGTGCTGCCCTGTGAAGATCCTGATATCATGGCTCATCACAGCAAACTTCTGACATACCCAACAAATCATGGCAAAGGAATTATTTATTTTTTCGACAGTGTTCTCTAAAAAGAAAGCCCCAATCTCTGCACTCTTGATTTTAAGCTGTTGTTCCAGAATCTTTCTGTGTCGATCTTCTGTTTTCATATCCTCCAGACGGTCAAAAGCACGTGCCATCAAAAGGGCTTTCTGTAGACTTGTTTCCTCACGGCGCTGGATTGTCTGGTCGGATATATGCGTTACCATGGAACCATGTTTTCTAGCACGGCCTACAAAATAAAGAGCGGTTTCAACTCATCAATTTAAAACAGCTTATTTTTTATTTAAAGTGAAAAAAACAAACACAAACAAAAAGCTTCTTTTATCACCGAAGCAGCTCCGATTTAACTTGAAACTGATACAGTATGTCGAAAAGAGTCCCGGCAATGGTTGCAAAAGGAGTGACAATAATATCCAAATAATATGGTAATATCTCGAATAAAGGTAGTATTTTTAAATAAAATGGTATAAGAGTGACAATAGGCTCTCGGCATGAAAATTGTAATTCTTCTCAAATTCCTATGTAGAAAATTTGACTAAAACAATGACAAATTGTGTAACTGCCTAAAACAATGGCTAATTGAATTATACCAACGTTTATTTTAACTTCAAATACCCTCTCTTTATTTTTTCTACCAGGAGAATTTACTCTGATCTGTTTTTGCCAAAAGATGATAAAAACATACTTTGAATTAAACAAGAGGCCCATGGGTCTTATAGGTCACCCGAGTATCATATAACAATTTTCCAACAATTGAATTGGTTCGTGTTTTTTTTTGAAAGAGGCACTATTGCTTATCATAATTATACACTTAGCTTGCTTACACAAGTTATTTAATACCCAGAGCCCAGAGGTATATCAGAGTAACAAAGAGAAAATGTATTTCCTCTTTATAATAAGTTGTGCACCCCCCCCCCCCCCCACACACACAGAGGAACCACTGACCCTTGGGGCACTTATTTCAAAATTCTGGAAAATTTATCATAAATTTTATTTTATCATAAATGGTTGATTAATACCAAAAAGCAGTTTTCAAAGCATTAATTTCAGTATTTTCATACTATGTAACCCCCACCCCCACCACAGGTATGCCTGACCCAAGGGCCCTGGAATTCACAATTTTAGAAAAAGGCAACTTTCATCATCATTAATATGTACTAAGAACATTAGCATAATACTTAGAAGCAAAGGAAAAGATTTTCAAAGAGTTCTTGCATTTTCACTAAATAATCATCAGAGCCCTGCCCTTACACCAAAACCCCTGACCTAGGGGCCCCGAAATTCACAAATCTGGAAGAGGCATCCTTCCTCATCATAACTATGTACATAGTTCCCTGTTTAAATTCCCAGGAGCAGAGAAGATTTCAAAGAATTAATGTATTTTCACTATAGAACCGATAGAGCCCCACTCTAGCAACAGAACCCTTAACTAGGGGCGATGAAATTCACAAGTTTGGAAGAGGCAGCCTTATTAAACATAACTATGTATTTTGTTAGTTTATTTAATACCCAGAATGAGAGAAGAGGATTTTCAAATAATGTGTTTTCACTATATAATCAATAGAGCCCCGCCACAACCCCAGTATCCCCAGCCAAGGGGCTTTGAAATTCACAATTTTGGAAGAGGTAGCCTTTTTCAATATAACTATGTACTTGGCAATTTTAGCTCACCTGAGCCGAAGGCTCAAGTGAGCTTTTCTGATCAAAATTTGTCCGTCGTCTGTCGTTGTTGTCGTCGTCGTAAACTTTTCACATTTTCATCTTCTCAAGATTCGCTGGGCCAATGGTGGGGCCACAATAGCCAATCAAAGTTTTACATAGGAATTAAAAACAGGGAAATCTTAAAAAAAATTTCACAAGTACTGCAAAGCCATGATTAGTGATATTTTTATGGAAGCATCCTCAGATACTGTAGATTCTAGTTTGTTCAAATCATAACCCCCAGGGATAGGGTGGGGCCACAATGGTTGATCCAAGTTTTACATGAAAATTATTTTTAAAAAAAACTTTTTTCCTAAAGAATAGCAAAGCCATGATTTAGTATTAGAATTCAAGACCCTCTCCCCTCCCACCCCTTCAGTAAACTTTTCAATTCTGACCTAATCAGTGTATTTTCCTAGCCGATGTGCTCAGGTGAGCGATGTGGCCCCTGGGCCTCTTGTATTTAATACCAAAGAGCAGGGAAGAAGAATTTCAAAGAAATAATTCATTTTCACTACATAATCTATACAGCCCCGTCCTAACACTAGAACCCCTGACCCTGGGCCATGAAATTCACAATTTTGGAAGAAGCAGCTAGCCTTATTCAACATAACTATGCATTTGGCTTGTTTATTAAATAACCCAGGAGCAGAGAAGAAGATTTTCTAAAAAATTATGCATTTTCACTACATAATCTATTTAGTCACGCCCTAACACCTATAAATCCCTGACCCCGGACCTATGAAATTCACAATTTTGGAAGAAGCAGCCTTATTCAACATAACTATGTACTTGGTTATTTTATTTTATGCCCAGGAGCAGAGAAGATTTTCAAAGGAATAATACATTTTCACTTTATAATCTATTTAGCCCCACCCTAGCAATTTCGGTAGAGGACTCAATGCTGATTACAATCATGCAAACAGTTTCACTGCTTGATGTACAATAGTAAAGAGGAAGATTTTTGAAGATCGCATTAATTTTAGTGGATTTTGGCCCCGCCCCTCAGGCTCCAGGGGGCAGAGATCATGAAATTTATAATTTTGTTTTGCTTTACCCATAAATACTTTATGCCAAATTTGGTAGAAATTGACTGAGTGGTTGCAGAGATGAAAATGTTCAAATGTTAAAGCACGACGCCGGACAAAAACGGATAGCAATAGGTCACCTGAGTCTACTCAGGGGACCTAAAAAGAGCATTAATTACAAATGAGAGTACAACTTAATCTTGAACGTCACGATAGTTTAACACATAAACAGCCACCCGCGTTCTGCCGTGGGTAGAGCGTCTGTTCTAAAGTCGGGGGGTAGTTGACTCTGACGCTGCGGGGTCGAATCCACAGTGGAACGTGGAGACCAGTCCTTTGGATGAGGCTTTAAAATCGAGGTCCCGTATCGCAGGTGTCGCCACGACGCGATACGATTGAATCCATGTTGTATACCGTCCCTCTCGAGAATTTTTATACCCCCGCTCCGAAGGAGAGGGGGGTTTACTGTTTTACCCTTGTGTGTCTGTCTGTCTGTCCGTAACAAATTTTCGTCGCAGTTTTCTCAGCAACTACTCATCGCAGATGCTTGAAATTTTAACACATCTTCTCTGAGGCATGCCATATGGTGGGATACATTTTCGCTCAAATCCGATGTCAACTTCCTGTTTGTCTGTGCGTCTGTCCGTTTCATACATAACAAATTTTGTCGCAGTTTTCTCAGCAACTACTCATTGTAGATTCTTGAAATTTTAACACAATCTTCTCTAAGGTATGCCATATGTTGGGATACATTTTTGTTCAAATCGGATATTAACTTCCTGTTTGTCTGTGCGTCTGTCCGTTTCATACATAACAAATCTTCGTCGCAGTTTTCTCATTAGCTATTCATAGCGGATGCTTGAAATTTTATTACATTCTTTGTTGAGGCATGCCATATGGTGGCATTAATTTTGATATGAATCTGATGTCAACTTCATATTTTTCTGTGCATCTGCCTGTAATTGAACTTGTGTATATTAACATGATAGTGCTTATTTACATCAGAGCGGGGGGTATTACTAGTGAGCATTGGCTCACAGATTTCTTGTTCACTCATTTTCCGCCACTTGCCGATGGAGAGCTGCAAATTTTGTCCTATGCTCGGCACTCGGGCCCATTGAGCAGTAGGGGGGTGGTGTCTTTTGTGCCTCACCTACTGCGACATGGGGCCTGGGTTTATACGAAGGACGAGTCTCCACGTCCCACATTGGGATTCTTACCAGCGACTCAAGGATCAAGTCCTTACTTCGCGACTGTTGTTTTAAGAAGATTTGCCGTTTTCCATATCCGCTGATTTTCTGAACAAGGCACAAACTACATTTTCTTGTTCAGCGTAAAACCAAACTACAAACCCCCTGGTATCTTTTATAGGTTCTAAGCTGGGTACTTTTTCATAAAAACAGTTATTTTTTAATTGATTTTTGAAGTGCATTAATATCGGTCATAGATCGACCTGAACCACCTGTTCGAAGTAAAATGTAAACATATACGTAAACAAAGGTTTATAATTGTAGATTAAATTTACACATTTTCTACAATGGAAGATTACGTGGATTGCGATTGATAACCCATCCACGCCAACCATAATCTGTTTCTTTCGGAAAGGATCTGAAAAAAAGCACACTTTAGCCACTTCCTATAGGGTCTACCCGATATCCTTCGAATGGGTCAAACTACGTGTCCTGAATTGAATTTAGTAACATTGTTGGGATGTGGAAAGTATGTTCAATGTTTGTACAAGATTTCAATCCACATGTATTTTAGAGTAGAGGGTATGTTTGTCAACATTTGAATCTGTGTATTTTGGAGAAGTTTTAACTAGTACTACCTAATTTCTTTTAATACCAAGTAAGGTTTTGCACCTAGTCTTGTTTTTAAAAAAGTTTTCTTTATTTAATTGTTGATGTTAATTGTCCTCTGAGGGTGTTTTAATGAACATGTATAAAGAAATTATAAGGGCCCCGCTCGGCGGGCGCCCTATAGTGATCAGTCTGTCCGTACGGGTGTCCGTCCGAGATCTCTTGTCCGGAGCATATTTTCTCTCTCCTTGGCCCAATCTGGCTCATACTTCACCCACAGAGTGCATTTGGGTAACTGGTGTGCAGTGACCTTGAACCATGTTTCTAGGTCAAAGGTCAAGGACATAGCAGAATTATTTGAAAAATCCTTGTCCGGACTATATCTTCCCTCTCTTTGGCCCAATCTGCCTCATACTTCACCCACAGAGTGCCTTTGGGTAACCGGTGTGCAGTGACCTTGAACCATGTTTCTAGGTTAAAAGTCATGGTCACAGCAGAATTATATGAAAAATCCTTGTCCGGACCATATCTTCTCTCTCTTTGGCCTAATCTGCCTCATACTTCACCCACATAGTGCCTTTGGGTACCCGGTGTGTAGTGAATTTGAATCATGTTTCTTGGTTGAGGGTCAAGGTCGTAGCAGAATTATGTGAAAAATCCTTTTCCGGAGCATATCTTCTCTCTCCTTGGCCCAATCTGCCTCAAACTTCATCCACAGTGTGCCTTTGGGTAACCGGTGTGCAGTGACCTTGAACCATCTTTCTAGGTCAAAGGTCATGGTGATAGCAGAATTATATGAAAAATCCTTGTCCGGACCATATCTTCTCTCTCTTTGGTCCAATCATACTTCACCCACATAGTGCCTTTGGGTACCCGGTGTGCAGTGACCTTGAACCAAGTTTCTTGGTTGAGGGTCAAGGTCGTAGCAGAATTATATGAAAAATCCTTGTCCGGAGCATATTTTCTCTCTTATTAGTCCAATGTTGCTCATACTTCACTCAAAGAGTGCATTTGGTCACTGAATATGCAGTGACCTTGAACAAAGTTTCTAGGTCAAAGGTCAAGGTCAAAAATAGACTCTCTTTTTAGAGTATTTGTTAGCTGCCTAATTTCTTTCCCTCAAGTCCACTCAGCCTCAAACAAATTGACTGGATATGGAACATTTGTGATTTTCCTTCCATATTATGATAGAGGATATGCAACAATTCTCATACAGGTTACATTTCTAAAAGTTTTTTAAATTGTATTATTTTTCAGGGAGTAATACTTTTTGTCCCCTTTAATTTCAAACACCTTCAAAATAAACCTTTTTCAGCTAGTTAAATTTTCATGTTCATTGCTAAAAGTGGGGCCCTTTGAGATGGCCATCATCTCAATGATATCTAGTTTCCTAATTACTACGTGAAGAAGCATAAATTGAAAGCCGATCATTTCAATACGAACCACTCATTTGCATTATATCTGCCTCGTTCCCCGTGTAATTATATGTTATGATGAAGTTACAGTCCGGGACATCAATTCCCTCACTTCCAACAGACGTAGCTACTAATAAATTTATTTTTCCTTCTCTGTAGTTCTTTAAGGTGTTTGCTTTCTCTTCATCCTGCATTCCTGTAAGAGGAGAGATAATATTAACTTTAATTCACACTGCACACAATTAATTATTGTAAGTAGTGTTGGCAAAGAGTAACCGGTTAACCGTCCAAAGATGCGAGTATCGGTTAGTAAAATGCTACATGTATTCGGTTACTCGGATAAAAATACATTTTTCATAGTAAATACATATAAAACTAGAGGTACTGTGAGCACTGAGCTCACTAAATGATACCCCCCGCCTCCCATATGATTATAATGGCAAAATGCATGTTTTGCTCGTACATGTAAACAACTCGGACGGGCAAAGGGAAGTAACTCTAAAATAGAAATCAAAGTACTCAGAAGTACAGAGAGCCGGGCTCATTTACAGAGTGGAATGAATTTCTTACATGAATCACGTATATCTTCTGATGAAAAAAATATTTTAAAACTATCAATATAAATGATAAGACAGTGACAGTGAGTTTTTCAATCCTAATACCACGGTCCGATTTTGTCAGAATCAGACTTAATCTGGTACCGCAGCTGAATGTAAAAAAAAAACAGGCCCGTCTGGTTCCCTCTCCTGTTTTACCTCGTATGTGTAGAGAACTACGATAACACTGATTATCAAAAATCCTTACGCTAATGAACTATGTTCTTTGACTTAGGACTGAAGTTTTCAAAGTCATTACTACTAATGTTTATTTATGATAGATAAAACTTCGTTTTATTTTTGTTGCTTTATTTAGCGTTTGTATTATCTCAAAAGCAGTTGAGAGGAAGAACTATATTTTTGCACGTAACTTTAAAATGGCGACTATTGGGTTGACTTCCTGCCTTGAACAGGATGACATAAGTCGGCAATTGTTCTTTCAGCAATAAGCCCGGCTAATAAGACACAATATGAATATAATGGCAGTGCCCATTTTGCTATGGGAAACCCAAAATATGTGTCGGATCAAAACGTGAAATAGGAGATGCACAATGGCAATATGAAATAAAGATTTTTTGAAAGTTTCATCAAATCCATTCAGTGGTATGAGAGGAGTTGCGGATGAGAGATAGGTACCCGAAAGCGTAACTGACGGACGTACATTATTTATTAATTAAAATACTGAAGAAAATACTTTTTCCGTCACCAAAATCATGGACATTTTGAAATTACGTCATCATCTTATCGACGTTATAATAAGCCTTTTATTAAACAGAATTTTAAACTTGACCTATCAAAGATAGATGTTGGGGATATACAAGCCATTTGGCCCTTTCCAAGATTTTTCCACGTTAGCTTCCGCGCACGATTGATTTTGAGGTTATGAAATGAAAAACAAAAACAACTAAAAATTAACAATATTACTTTCTTGGTATTTTTCTCGGAAAGAAATTTATTGTTTTTTATATTTTAGAGTGGGCGATTTACAAAGAATAAAAATTATAACAATAGACCCTTTTGTTGAACTGTCAGACTCTCATGATCAAAAATACAGATTTCTGACAAAAACACTTGTCAAATATCCTATCTTTCATCACTGGAATTTTTAGCTCTTCTGAGCCAAAGGCTCAAAGAGCTAATGCTATGGCCATTTGTGCGGTGTGCGTAAACTTTTCAGAATATGGGCCATAACTCAAGAACCCTTTCGCAAATCAGTGTCAAATTTTTCACAGGGTATTCTTGGCCCAAGGGCTCCCATTTATACTAAAATAAGGGTTGGGACCCTTAAACAAGGGGAGATAATCAGGAAAACAAAACCAAAAGTACTGGTTCCCGAAAAATCTTCTCCAGAACCACCAGGCAGATTTTCACGAAACTTACATACAAGGATCAGGATATGTGGAAAATTAAAATTTGCACGGGGAATTACCCTGGGGCAAAGGGCGTGGTCTCAAGGTCATTTCAAAGTTGACCTAATGTTACGCTACAAGTACTAGGATCATGAAATCTTGTAAGTTGATGCATCTTAGGACTTCACATCATCTTAACTCAAAAGTAGGTCACAGTGACCTACTTTTTAAATTTTGCGGGCATTTATTTTCAAATTGATTTGGGGACATATTTTGGATACTTTAAGGCCTATGATAATCAAACTTTGTCAGTTGATGCATCTTGGGTCCTCGAACAAGGTCAACTTAAAAGTAGGTCACCGTGACCTACTTTTTGAATTTTATGGCTTATCTTTTCTAAAACATGTGAACCCATTATTTCAGACACTAAGAGATTAAGAATCATCAAATTTTGAAAGTTGATGCATCTTGGCGCCTTAAAACATATTTATGAAAAATTTATGAAAAATTAGGTCACTTTGACCTAATTTTTGAATTTTTCAGGCATATGTTTTCAAATTGTTTAAAGGGCATATTTTGAATACTTTCAGACCTATGATCATCAAACTTTGTCAGTTGATGTATCTTGGGTCTTTGAAAAATGTCGACCCAAATGTAGGTCACGGTGACCTACTTTTGACATTCTATGGCTATATTTAAGTATCTCTGGTACTTATTGACTTAGAATCATCAAACTTTGACAGTTGATGCATCTTGGGTTATCTGATATTGTCGACCAAGATGTAGGTCACGGTGACCTACTTTTGACATTTTATGACTATATTTAAGTATCTCTTGTACTTATTGGCTTAGAATCATCAAACTCTGTCAGTTGATGCATCTTTGGTTATCGGATATTGTTGACTTAAAAGTAGGTCACAGTGACCTACTTTTGACATTTTATGGCTATATTTAAGTATCCCTAGTACTTATTGGCTTAAAATCATCAAACTTTGTCAGTTGATGCATCTTGGGTTTTCGGAGAATTTTGATAAAAAGTAGGTCACAGTGACCTACTTTAGACATTTTATGGCTATATTTATGTCTCTGGTACTTATTGGCTTAGAATCATCAAACTTTGTCAGTTGACGCATCTTGGGTTTTCGGATATTGTCGACCAAAATGTAGGTCAAGGTGACCTATTTTTGACATTTTATGACTATATTTAAGTACCTCCGGTACTTATTGGCTTAGAATCATCAAACTTTGTCAGTTGATGCATCTTGGGACTTCGGAAAATGTCGACCCAAAAGTAGGTCAAGGTGACCTTCTTTTGACATTTTATGGCTATATTTAAGTATCTCTGGTACTTATTGGCTTAGAATCATCAAACTTTGTCAGTTGACGCATCTTGGGTTTTTGGAGAATGTCGACCAAAACGTAGGTCACGGTGACCTACTTTTGAATATCTCAATTGACTTAGAATCATCAATCTTTGTCAATCAATGCATCTCGAGGCCTCAGAAAATTTTAATAAAAAAGTGGGTCACCCTGACCTATGGTATTTCATAGTTATATTATATCATCAGTTTTAACTGGCTAAGAATTATCAAACTTTGTTAGGTAATGCATTTTGGGTCTTATGATACTTAGAGTTGGAGGCTTCAAAGAAGTGACAGATTGTACTATTTATCAGAAGAGCGATTCAAGGCCTTTGGGCCTCTTGTTTGAGAATAGGAGATGATTTTTCTAATTTATGTTGGTCTTTTCACCATATCTGCAAAACAATGCATCAATCCTGTTTTGCGTGGTTGTATACATTGTTAAATTACTCCAACCAATCTTTAAAAATATGTTAACTTGCCATACTCCGACCGAATGACTAAAATTGACCCAACTCAGTTTTATTATTTTCTTTTACATTCCATGACACAATATTTTTTTTTCTTATTATTCCTCTTAACCTCTCAAAAAATATGTTGAAATTTTCTATACAAGAGGTTTCCCATCTGCCTACCGACCTAATAATTTTACCCCGAGTCGGGAGAGGGCAAGCAGAAATTATTTTTCAAAGATGGCCTTTTATGCTTTTATGCCTTTTACATGCTGCGGTATTGGGTAGTGTGAAATCGTCGTTTGTAAAGTTAATAGGATGTCAGTTTGCGAATAGGCTATAAAAATATATAAAAATTCAGAAAATAAAGTGTTATCTTTAGTATTGAAAAAAGGAGTTAAACAGAGAGTTGACTGTTTCTTTAAGGACAGACGAGACGTTCCTTAATAGCAGATAAATTTTTCTAAGAGTTTGCCATTGAAGTGTTGCTACTTAAACATGTTTACTCACAAAAAATTGAGGTACCTTACCAGGCATTTTTGCAAGATACCAGGGGTAGTTTTTCTTATATAATCCTTTGGGGGAGAAAAATAATTTTCCAATATCAAATGTCTGAGTGTTTGGATTTTTTAAAAACTTTTAGAAACTGGTTTAGACATCAGAATGTTATTAAAATTTTGAATATTTTTCATACATTACGAAAATATACAAAACAGATTTTGAGGAACGTCTCGTGTGACCTTAAGACGATTTTTTTTCTTGCTTAAAGATGAAAGCATCACGCATATACGTAGACATACGCCATTTTCGATATTACTATCTATGATACCGGCACTGGAGTATACTTTTCGCATTCATTACACCTTGTCACGGGTATCGGCGTGGAATGTCGACTTGTGTTCGTGCTTGTTATTTACCATTACCTTTGTTTACATTTTATTGCAGTTACGTGTATTTGTGTTTGTATACTGCACTGACCTGTGCAACTGTTGTAAGTTTCTTTGGTTTCTTATTCGTCTGCATTAGGAGAAGTACACAGTGCGAGTTATTTTTTGTACTTTATAATATATGTCCCTCTACAACAGTGACAATTAATTATACTGAACAGTGACTAAGTGAGCGGCTTTATTTAGGGGCCTTCAGATATAGAGAGAGACAAATCGAATACTGCGGATTAATTCCTATAACAAATCATGCAAATCGTGTTCAGCTTTAATAAGGGGGTGGGCTCGCTCCTGTGATGCATGCTTTAAGTAATTTAGTACCCTGTCGACCTACCTTCGCTAGTGTCACTAGATTTACTGCCAGTAAATGGCGCAGCTCTGTACCCTATCATTGCTAGCTCTTCTGATATGTACTGTGATAGTGCAAAAGCCGTTGCTCTAGTCTCTACAAAGATCATTCCTCTAACACTCTCACCAAGGTCAGAGTTAAGATCGACCAAGTGGTTCCTTAACATCTTGAGATGAGGGTTGATCATTTCACTCAGTGCCTGGAGCTCCTGACACACTTCTAAAATGAAAGTTATATATATTTTTTTTAAAAAGAAGAGTTGCAGTCCGAGGCAGCAGAATTTTAATGTAGTTTTGAATGTAATTTTTATGTGTCCTAACATCTGACCTTCATTATACCGTAAAAACCGTGTTTCTACTTCCTCTTCATTCAGATTATGATGTTCCATTAACGGAATTTGATGCTGATTTTTGTCATCTTCAAACCTTCGCCTCAAATAGTCAGCAACATGTGCGCTGTTCATCAAATAATTAACGCCTAGGGCTTCGTTATAAGCCTTCCAATAAGAAAGAAAACATTGCTTTTGTAAACAAAGCAACAAATGAACTGTTTCTCAGCGAAATTCTTAATGCATTAAACACTTAGTGAATGACATCTTGTATTTTGTATCTATATGTAAATCAAACGTACTTGCAAAGTGTTGCTCTCATTTTTATTGCTAATCATACTACAAAAAGTACGGCTGATGATTTTTATCTAAAAATTTTATAGTAAGCAGAGATTTTACACTAACCGACAGATGAGTAAGGGCTACGTGTAGCTTTCTAAGGAGCTTTGGATCACTCTTTAGTTTACATATCACTCTGTTTCTGAAGTGGATTGTCCATTTCTGATACTGTTTGCCATCTTTTTTCTTTGGTTTTCTGTCCCATTGTTTCTTGAGTTTTGGCTGATTTACCACTAAAAATGTCAAAAAGCTTTCAACTGTAACGGTCAATTTTTAGCTTTTTACCTGTTAGCCATACCTGTATATTAATTAAACTGTGTTAAACTTAAGATGCCTTTAGTCCTACTTGTTCTTTTTTCAGCAATTATTATTTGTCATAACAGACCTTGTTAATGACATTTGATTGCAGCAGATAGCAAGAAAACAACTGGGAGAATATAGTGCAATTGTCTTGAAGGTGCCTGATTGCCTACGTTACCTTCTGTTTTGCCTACATACTGCTCAATTGACTCAATTTTATCCAGAATGATCTGTTTTGGCAAGTCTTTTTCCTTTTCCATAAGTTTCAAAGTCTCTACAAGTATTGCACACATTTTTTTCAGGAAAAAAACTCTTAATGAGAGTCATGGAAAAAAAAACCCACAATGATTAGAATAAGAACATTAATGTAAGTTTTTTGTTAGGGATTAAGTTTGAATAGTGTCATGCCTCTTTTTGGAACGGCAACATGACTCTCCAACTCCTTTATTTTCTTTCTGACCTTCGATATTTCAAACACATCTAGACTTGCACACACACTAAGTATATGTGTCACTGCCCCATCTTCTGTGCTGGATTTACCAACCCCAATGGTTGCAGTTAGTCCCAAAACCTGAAACAATATATACACAAACATATTCAATGGATCAAAAACCCGAGTTCTGTCAAATCAGCAAGCAACAGTATTCTCTCAAACAGAAATTCTAGAAGAGCGTTGAAAATATTTTTGTAAGATAAAATGACCGTCACTCTATAGCAAAAAATTAACAAGAAAACGTTTGGTAAAACTCCTGGCATCGTTTCTATTCAAAGATAAAAATGAAAAACCTCAAATTAACCAAAAGATTACTCAATATTATCCACTATTAACCGCTCAAAATATGCTTGATTTTATTCACCTTCACGTACTTGTTCAAATCAAAATCGTAACAATTATTATACCCCTTGCTTGAAAAGTGGCAAGGTATATATATATATATATATATATATATATATATATATATATATATATATATATATATATATATATATATATATAGTGATCGGGATGTCCGTCCGTCTGTCCGTTACGCTTTGGGGTACCAATCTCTTATCCACAACTCCACCTATACAACTGAATGAATTTTAATGAGACTTTCAAAGAATGTTTGCTACATAGTGCCATTGCGATCTCCTATTTTTACTTTTTGATCGGACACATATTTTGGGTTTCCCAGAGCAAAACTTTGACACTAATATTATTTCTATAGTATTAATTGAAGGGTACCAATCCGTTATCCGCAAGTCCTCCTATACCACTGAATACAATTCAATGATACTTTTAAAAGTTTCATCATGCCATTGTTCACCTCATATATACATGTATTACTTTTTGATACGACATTTATTTCGGTTTTCGAAGAGCAAATCAGGGACGTTTCCATTATAATCATATGGGAGGCGTGGGTATCATTGAGTGAGCTAAGTGCTAAGTGCTCACAGTACCTCTAGTTTAAATTTTGTTCTTCAGATTAAAATTCACCTGTGGTAGCTGCTTGTCTTTTCCCTCTCGTTTGAGCGTTATATACTGCTTTAGAACATTATTGTATGGCTCTCTCTTCCTTGTGTGGTGACACTCGTCCAGGATCAGCAGTGAAATTTCCTGGAGAGAGATCTGTTTACTATTGATGTTGTTTAGAAGAATCTGTGGCGTCATAAATATCACCTGGTGCGTTTTCTTGGCAGTTTCCAATTTCCTGCCCAGCGCTGCTGTCCTTTCAGTTTTAAGATGATAAACCTTTAATTCAAAAACAAAACTATACAAAAATAATTAATACATGTAGATCTCTTCACGTGAATGCTGAATGCTTTTTCTTGTAAATTATAATAAATTAATGATTGTTTTTCTATTATTATTTTTTTGTTTATGAGTCTTACTAAATATATCATTAGCATGTATGATAATAATATTTTATTAAAAAAAACACAAGGTAATTTAAGTTAAGCCCCCTTAAAGATAATTTGAAGATTTGGTGTTTTGATCTGACCTCATACTTGTACAAGCACTTTTTCCAGGAAGATTGTGCAGTGAAATGATCTTATATGTGTAAAAAATACTCTGCAATGAACTTTACCAAGGACTTACTTTATATTTATATAAATATTTTTCAAATATTTCGTACTGCTGCTCAACAAGGGCATTGGTCCTAGCAAGGAAAACAACACATGCTGAAAAAATGAGTATATCCAATATATCAGTCAAAACCTATGAGAACACCAAAAGAATTTTTTTCTAGAGGATATTAATACTGAAATCTCTACATACTTGCACACGCCTTATGACAAAATAAAGATAAACAATTCATTGGTCAAACAATAATATGTAATCAATATGCTTAAAGTGTCACATAATTTAACGTACCATCAGGTTTGCTGGCAAGATGTTCTTGAGTTATATATAGAGCGACGTATGTTTTACCAGTCCCCGTTTCAGCACAAATGATTGTATTAATGCCATCGATTGCCAATTCTGCCAGTTCCTGTTGATATTCCCTCAATGCTAGTGTAGGATAGACTTCTTTCTCCGTAGCTGAAAATAAGCAAAGGGTATTAGTTTCATAAAAATATTAATTTCAAATCTCCATTATTAGGGGAAAATGTAATATTCTTTACTGTACAAAGAACACAATATTTTTCATGAAATATACACATTATGTAACGTTTTTCTTTGTACAAACCCTTGTATTGTTAGGAAGCAAAATCGGATTTGACAGCAGATATCCATCGACGCTACGAACAAAAAATGGATGCCTGGATAGGTATATATTTTTTGGCCTAATTTCATTGCAAATGATACAAATAACAAATTTCTAGAATATAAAGAAATTGTAAACCTTCTCTGATGTTCATAAGTCTGCCCTTCTGAACCCATCCTTATTAATCTATACAAATATTTTTCGCTTCAAATCCCATTTTTGTGAAATTTTGAATAAAAAATTTTAAAAAATACGCGGTGAGACCTGTTCATTTTAATCATTTAAACGTGACAGAAGTTATTTTTAAATTCTTTAACATAAGTTTGTTTGTATCATCTGTCCTTAAATCCCAATAGTAAGACAAAACAAGAAAAAACAAAAACAAAGCACAATGAACACATCGACCTTTGATAATGTCAATAAATGATAGAACTACTCACTAAATGTTGAATTTAAAATCTGACTACGGACGGACGGACATCCCGATCATTATATACCCTCCCACTTTTCAAGCGGGGGTATAATCATACAAGAGATTCTGAACTGCTATTAGATATAGCTTTTAAACTACTACTCTTTCTGAAGAAATAGGAAATAAATCCTCTCGTTTTCAACAGAAATTAGCCGAAATAAAATATTCTAAACATCCTACAATAGAAATTTACACAGATGGTTTGAAGGACAGATTGCAGAGGTCAATAATAAATAATGTTTTTTTTTCTATAAACGAAGCTATACAACCTACTTTTGAATATATAAAAACTTCTAGTAAAATATTTTTACAATATTTTCAGACTCGCTTGATGTGTTTATGTTTACAGTCCCTATACAATATGAACACTGATCATTCATACGTTTTCGATATTTTAAACAAGTTCTATCATCTTACTAAACAAGGTAAAAATGTCGAATTTTGTTGGATTCCGAGTCATATTGGTACACGGTTATAAAAAGGTCGACATTTGTGCAAAAATTGTATATCATACAAAACAAATCAATCATCTGACCAGCCTAAAACGTCAGGGTGAAGTATTTGTTTCAAGAATAAGAACTGGACATTCAAGGTTTACCCATTCATATTTACTGATCGGGGAATATCAACCCGATTGCACATCTTGTGACTGTGCAATAACTTTAAACCGTATTTTATAAAAGAATGTTTTGATTTTACGTCTGTTCGAAATAAACGTTTTGTGTGCAAACAACGCATCTTTTTACAAATGTACAAGTAAGTCTTGTGCAGTTTTACAAAAAATTGATTTTGACAATGATTTAAAGGTATAAATTTTTATTAGCATTTTTTTTAAGTTAACTGATTTTATTTTTTTTTTCAAATTCTGTCGGATGGGACCCGTGTCAAGAATTACAACCCCCTCAGCACGCTAAATATCTTCCCTCTCGTTTTTGAAAAGAAGAGTAGGCTCATTGAGGGCCATCAGAGAAATCCAAAAATGTTTAAAATTGGTCATACCGTATTTAAATTTCCACACCGAAATATGGCTGAAATATTGCCGAAACGCGTAAATACAATAATCAATCAATTCAATCTATCTATCATTTACACCGCGAAGAGTAATCTGTTTCGAAAATGTCTACTGTTAATTTTTTCTTGTATATTTTTTTTTCAATTTAGATAATAAATCAAACACCTTCCTCTACATCTTTCTCTTGCTTTGACTTCTTCAAATCTTCATCGTTTTCTGATAAACTGTCTAGAAAAAGAATTAAAAGGTTTTTTAAATGAATAATAAGCTTTGTTTTTTCTCTCCAAATTTCAATAAGTATATTAAAACTTTTTTACTAACCATTGTAAGGTTCTGAATCGTTTCTGCGTGCAGAGCGCTCAACTGTGGCATCCAGATAGTTCAAGACACTCTGTACTTGATCAGATGTCACCCCTTCGTTTCCGCACTCATTGATTGTTCTTTCAGTCCCCATATTCTCTTTCTTTTTGCTATTATTTCCCTCATCCACCGCCACGTTTACTCTGTCGGTATTGCTTGATAATAGCACTGGAGATTCCTCCAGGGTTGTTTCTATGCTCTGCCAATTTAATCCAGAAGCATCTGCCAAATTATATGACTGTCGTTCGTACAAAGGCGTCTCTAGACTAGGCAAATTTAATCTGGAAGTATCTGCCAAACATAACGGTTCGTTTTCACTGTCTACCATCTCTTCCACTTTGGCTGTACATGACACTCCTTGTTTGGTATTGAAAGCTGTCTTAGGGTATGTCTCCTCTTGATTTTCCTTTACCTTACGATTCTCAACTTGCTCCTCCCGACCATTTTTTGATTTCAGATCCCATTGATTCGGATTTGAGACTTGGAGTTCTTTGGGTTCTGTTTCATCTTTAAACAGAGAGAGAGAGAGAGTCGGAAAAAAATATGTGACCATGTCTAAATTTAAATATAACTCAAATTGACAAAGAAAACCTTTCGTGTATTGTTAATAGAAAAAAAAGTATTTCCTTTTTATAATGGAAATGAAAATAAAAAAATGAAAATGAAAATTCAGAAAGCAGAGGAGAATAACCATTGATATACATACTGAGTTTGTTAGATAGATCTTCCACTCCTAGATCCTGGAATATACTGGCCAATATACTTATCCACGAAGCATTCCTTCTCCATAGCCGATCTAGGAGAACCAAAATGGCTGCTGAGTCACTTCCTGTCATATCCTTCTCAGATAAGATGTTTTTACTGTCTTCACATGAAATCAGTTTTCCATCAGTCAATAGTTTCATCTTCTCTTGATTGAGAAAAACTTGGAAATATAAACATTTTCCGGTTTAAGTAATACTTCGCAGTATGGCCTTCGAACAGTTTCTGGAATGTTTTCTTCTTTTAGCGCAGCGATCACGTGCTCAAAATCTACAAAATTAATTGAAGTTTCATATCATTGATCGAATTTTTTTCATATTGGTATCAAAAAATACTTTCTTTCAAAAGTACCATTTTTCTCTAAGGCTTTGTAGAAAAATGACCACTTTTCTTTGTGTTGACAAGCGTCCATCAGATCCAGAAGAATGTGCATTGAGTGTTTTGACCCTTGCTCTTTCCCAGTTTTTCGAACTTGAAGTTTACCATCTGAATGTAATAACCAGTATTAATTACATTTCAATTCATATCAGTGAAATAAGGAAACATATATTTTTTTTCAGGTAATGAAATTTTATAAATAGGTGAAACTATTCAAGTTTTATAGTAGCGAAAGGCTTTTGACAGAGTAAGATGATTGAATTGTTCAGCAATATCACCTTAAAACCAAAATTTTTCAAAAGACTGTGGCTCTACTGGTTTTGAAGATTGATTATCCGATTTTTTATAGCCAGTCGGCAATATTTCAACCAGATTTCGGCGGGAGAATCTATATAATCGATTTTGAAAATTTTTAGTTTCTCTGGTTTTGAAAAGAAGAGCGAAAAGTAGCACTCTGTACAAGCACTACACAAAAAAATGTATGTTAAGGTATTTCACAGGAAATGCGTTTTTAGATATCATGGCATCAAAGGCCACAAAATAAACTGCTTCATGTATCTTAGTGTAGTCTACATGTGTGCCATAGTCTACATGTGTACCATAGTCTACATGTGTGCCAAGTTATCTTGAAATTAGAACAAAACTGTAGGAGGAATAGCATGTTTAGTACCCATCTCAATATCATTCATCAAAACCTGATGAACAGAGTTATATATCGATCTCTGTGTAGTCTACCTCTGTGACAAATTATACTACTTGAAAAATGTTTACTGACAGACAGACAGACGGAGGATGACGAACACCTTACTATCGCATAAGCTCTGTTAGTCTTTGACCAGTAGAGCTAAATATAAATCTCACCCTTTCCTATGATTTCACCAAGATCTGATAGAAGATCGGTTCCTCCAATACATTCCTCCAAAAGGGGTCGATAGATAGATACCATTACGTTGAAAGACAAGGACAGCTACTAGTATATCGTATTCTGTTGTTCTTACTCCATATTTTTCAAGCTGTTCCTAAGTACATGTATTAATTGGGCATACATTTTTTTTTAAACTGGAGACACCAAGAAGCGTAATTAATTATTCAAAATCCTTATTTTAACTAAAACATAATCATGACAATTCTATTTTTGAAGACCGATATATCTAAAATTAGGATCTGGGAAATAGCATGATCTAAAATTAGATTTCGGAGTTTAAATAAAAAAAAATCCTACGATTTACAAATAAGTACATGTATTTATTAAATTTATTTTAAAAAAGGAAAAGAAAGGATTGCATTATAATGTCAATTAAAAAATTACTTCAATCAGAAATAACAGACTTCACTGACCTAATATGTTAAATTGGTTTCTAGCAAAATATAATTATAAATGTAAACTATCTGCTATGGTGGCATATTTTTGCCCCTTGTGTGCAAGTTATTTTTTCTATCAAATATGTCGACATGCAAGATAAATATGTTGACATGCAATATAGTTATGTCAACATGCAACATAAATATATTGACATGCAAGAAAATTGCAATCAAATAAATATTATAAAAAATCTTCAAAAATCTCAAATATTGCCCACATGTGACATCCAACATGCTAGATGCTACTTATTTATGCTAACGTGCAAGATAAATATGTTGACATGCAACTTATTTATGTTAACATGCAACTTATTTATTCTGACATGCAACTTAGTTATGTTGACATGCAAGATAAATATGTTGACATTTAACTTATTTATGTTGACATGCAACTTAGTTATATTGACATGCAACTTAGTTATGTTGACATGCAAGATGAATATGTTGACATGCAACTTATTTATGAGTTATGCCGACATGCAACTTATAAGTTGCATGTATATTTATCTCGCATGTCAACATAACCAAGTTGCATGTCGACATAAATAAGTTGCATGTCGACATAATTAAGTTGCATGTCAACATAGATAAGTTGCATGTCAACATATTTATCTTGCATGTCAACATAACTAAGTTGCATTTAGCATGTTGGATGTCACATGTGGGCAATATTTGAGATTTTTGAAGATTTTTTATAATTTTTATTTTATTGCAATTTTCTTGCATATCAACATATTTATGTCAATTATGTTGCAAAATATTATCTTGCATGTCGACATATTTGATAGAAAAATAACTTGCACACAAGGGGCAGAAATATGCCACCATAATCTGCATTGTAAATGTTCTTCAGTTTTAAAATATTCCCAATTTTTATATATTATAATAAATGAAACTTACTGTAGACAGTTGTATTCGTTTTCTTACACAATGTTAAGCCAATTCAGAAAAAGAAAGATAGCAGCGTTTTTATTACGCCACCTTTTCTAAAAATCGAAGAGTTCCTGTTAATAAAACCACGGGCACTGGAAGTTAATGTAAATATATAGTATGTGTATGTATAAATAAAAACTATCTTTTTGCAAATTTGGGTTTGGGGTATTGTAAATGTTCGATTAAGTTCACATATAACTTACTGACAATATATGTTCCAATGCCGTCCCTTCGAAGAAAAAGATGTTTTTATACCTCCAAGTGCCTAAGAATATATTATAATAGAAAAATGAAATATTACAATGAAATTTCGACAGCTGGATAGACATCAAGCGAGAAACAATTTATTTGTCATGGTCTGTTCAACGTTTGATGAAGGGTTAGTTGCAGTTTTATATTTTAGCCTTTTCACAATTAATTTCTACGAATAATGAAGAATATTAGTTACAGTATAAAACAATTCATGTTGTTAATGTGTATGAAATTGACCAATCAGAACTTACCTTTCTATTCAGTTTGGATAAACCGGAAGTAAGGCAGTCTAGCGAAATTCTTAGGCACTTGGAGGTATAAAAACATCTTTTTCTTCGAAGGGACGGCATTGGAGCGGAACGAAACGGTACATATATTGTCAGTAAGTTATATGTGAACGATTAATCGCGTCAAGTCTTCTGAGAAAGGCCTACAATACCCCAAACCCAAATTTGCCTCAAAAAGAGTGTCCTACCCTTCTTTTATTTATACATACACATACTATATATTTACATTAACTTCCAGTGCCCGTGAATAAAACCGAAACTAAAAATAACAGTACGGCGGTCTTTAACTGTCATTACCAGTTATATTTTTTGTTAAAATTCAGAGTTATTCAATTAACCAGATGGCATATCTTTCTTAAACTTGTCATTAACTGTTCATTTGCATATGTTCAAGTTTTCTTGAAGCAAGGCCTGAATCTATTAAAATAAAAATTAACTCTAATAATTACAATGTTCTCAGTATAGAAACACTGCATTGATGGCACAGTATTTTTAACAAAGTACTTTTATTTTCCGCTAGGTTTGAAGTATCATCATCACTGGACAGAATAAAGCTGATAGTGCTGCAAAATCGGATTATACTATAACTCGATCTCCAGTCTTTCGAGTCGATGTACTTTAAGTCGTCCACTAAAACGAGGTAAAATTCGCACATTTTCTCCAGTTTTGATGCCTTACCTGAGCTGGAAAACACAAGCTGTAGACCCAGACTTCACAAAACCCATTTCTTTCTTTTGATATTTGCATAAAACTCACTACCTCTCCGATTAAAAAAAGGCTTTTTTTTCGTTTCCTGCAAGGCCCGAGCCGAGAACAGACGTCATGCATAGGGCAATCCCATGCAAGTTAGAAGATAGCTGCAGAACTGCAGCTCTCGGAAAATGACTGGTCAAATCTGTTCTAGAAAAACACTGTTGACCAATTACATCCCGCGTTAAACCTTGGATGAAATGTTGAGCGTATTTACTGGACGACTTACATGATAACAGGATATCTTATATTGGATTTGTAAAATACGACTTCAACGATTCTAATGGCCGTGATGATAATTTTTATTTAAAAGTAATTATTGTTGAATGATTCCACTAACTGAAAGGTATTTTATTGATAAAACGGGAGCAGAGGCGTAGTCACAAACTTAAAAGTGGGGGGCTCAACTCCAGAAATTCTTTGACAAGCAAAAAAAAATAAAAAATTTTAAAGTTCCCAAAACTCGAAAATCCTATTTCGTGGGGGGGGGGGGGGGTGTAGTGGCCAACTTTTTCAAAGGCATGTTACTTTCAATTCCAATTTTTCCCCCCACAATTCTTCCATATAATAACTATACTAGGGTCAAAAAGGGGAGGGGGAACTATCCCTTCAATGAACATTTCCTATAGTAAAGGTAATGTTGGGGAAAATAGCTGTGATTTTGTTCTTCATTAAAAATTGTGGGGGGGGGGGCACAGACATACTCTTGCCCCCCCCAGATCTGAAAGTGGGGGGCTAGTGCCCCCGCTGCCCCCCCCCCCCCCCCCGTGACTACGCCTATGGGGAGTGTTAACGATGTCGACCTGGGCTGTATTTGTTACGTAAAACTAAATATAGTATTTTACTGTCCCCTGTGATTTTACGTGGTTAAAAAAAATCCAACTTGATCTTAAAAATTGATGCTAAAAATTTATACTTCCTCCTGTTTATTCGTATATAGGATAGATGGATTTAGAAGTCTCTTCTATAGTATATTTTAAGTAGCAGCATTACATTCAATACAGTTAAACTCCATACTCGACAGATAAGAGGTTTTCCAACATTTATTTCAAAGTTTGTGAAAAGGGGGATTGACATGGCATCTACATAGTGCATTCGAGGCTGTTTTTCCGCTATTCAGAAAGGCCCGAGAAGTTGAGATTGGTTTTTAAAAGTAATTTAACATGACAATCTCGTTTGGAACATTAATTCAGTGCAACACGAACCCGATCGTAAGCCCCGGTATTAATATTAACAAGAGGCCCAAGAGCCTTAACGGTCACCTGAGTATAAAACAACAACATAGAGGGGAGGTAGGCAGAGTCTCGACACCAGCTGGTGTTTCTTAATTCCCAATTTTCAATATGACCGCCGCCATATTTCTCCCCTGCACATATCAGAATATAAAAAGCAGTGTTTAGAGTCAGAGGATTCTTGGATTACCTATACTCAGGTGTTATATAGTATAAAATTGACAGAAAATTTTAACAACTAGTTATACACTATTCTGTCCAAGGTTTAAATATTTTTAAAGATATTTAATTCTTTCTCAACTTTTGTAGGATTGATTGATTGTATGTTGTTTAAACGTCCCTCCCCGGAATTTTTCACTCATATGGATACCTACTGCTTGCTGGTGGAGAAGTTGTCCTAACTATATAGGATATAGCACTATATAGCATTCCATCGTTGGATCATTTTGCAAATTGTTTGTTGGAAGAGGCGTGAGACCTGAGGCCTGTTCAACAGAGCGAGCGCTCGCGAATGTTCGCTCTGTTGAACAGGACTCTGCTGTTAGGAATGCCCTGAAAGTAGCCCAAAAATTATACTTAAGTATGTGTACATCGAAAATTAAATAAACAAGAAGCCCAGGGGCGAGTTCGCTCACATGATCACTGGCTAGGGAAAAAAAATCAGTAAAGTTTTAAAAAGCTTTAATACATAAGTGGTTCCGACTTACACCTAAAAGGGAGAGGGGGTATGATTTGTTCAGAATAGAATCTACACTAACTAAGGATGCGTACATTTTGACTACCTGACTTTTTAGTAAGAGTTTGAACTTTCATCATGGTCCTTATCTACCCCTCAATCTAAACCACAGAAGGCTGCTTCTATATAAATATGAACAATCATGGTTTAGCTGTTCCTGAGAAGATGATTTTTAAAGTTTTTTCATATACATTCTTATGTAAAACTTTGATGGATCATAATGAGGCCCCATCCTACCCCCGGGGGTCGAGATTTGAACAAATTTGAATGTACACCATCTGCAGATACTTCCATATAAATATGACTTATCAAGGCTTTTCTGCTCAAGAGAAGATTTCTGAAGATTTTTCCTATATATTTCTAAAACTTTGATCAACCATATTGTGCTCACACCCTTCCCCTGGGGATCATGAAGACCTGAGGATGCTTCCATACAAAAACAATCATAGCTTTGGTATTCTTGAGAAGATTTTTCTATATATTCCTACGTAAATTTTGATTGTCCATTGTTGCCCAACCCTACCCCCTGGGGTCATGATTTGAACAAACATTAATCTACACCACATGAGGATGCTTCTGTATAAATATGACCAATCATAGTTCTGATGTTCCTTAGAAGATGATGTTTAAAGGTTTTTCCTCCATGGAACCTGATCCCACCTCTGATGTTCAAACTCCAAAATCAAGGTCAAAGGGTCCAATTTCTTATTATCCACTTTTCAGAGGGTCTTTTCTCAAGAATTACATTTGTGAAGTATGAAAGCCTTAGCCCTTACCGTTCAAAAGTTATGGCCAGGGTTAAAGTTTTTTCATAAATACGGAAATCTCCAAGGTCAAGGTCAGAGGGTCAAAGTTGTTGGTATCCAATGAAAGGTCTTTACACAAAAATACATATGTGAAGTATGAAAGTCCTTGCATCTACCGTTCAAAAGTTATGGCCAAAGTAAAAGTTTAGAATTTTTGTGTAAAAGTGGATCAAACTCCAAGGTGAAGGTCAAATTTGGTTGTACCCAAAGAAAGGTCGTGTCACAGAGAATACACATGTGAACTACAAAATTCTTAGCTCCACTAAATTAAAATTATGCGCAAGGTAAACGTTTTTTTGCGGACAAACAGACAGACAGAGGGACGGACGGACACGACTAAAACTATATACCCCCGAATCTTCGATTACGGGGGTATAAAAAAAAAATAGAATTTGCTCCTAATATGCATGTTCAATTTTACCACCACCCCTCTCAATAAAATTCGTTATATTTCAATCCTAAAATAACGGGGTTTATAGGTCACTTGAGTATCATCTAACACCTTTCCAACTTCAAAGGCCTTGAAATTAACAATTTTGAAATTTACACCCCACAGGCCCCAGGGGGCAGGGACCATAAAATTAACATTTTTTGTTAACCTTCACCCATTGATGCTTCATGCCTAAATTGGTTGAAAGGATGACTGCACTTAACGCTGTGTTTTGGGTCTTTTTCGATCGCTTCTGTTGCTTTTTAATCTTAACTTAATTTCACTTTTATATATCTACTACAGAAATAAGTCAATTTGACACCTAATTTAAATGTTAAAAATAATTTTAGACTGTATTACAATAATTAATTTCATGTGTTTCGTCCTTACGGATTTCCAAATACAGAGAATTTACACTTACCTGCCTTGATTGAACGTTATGTATGTATGAGAGGTGGAGCTAACACCGTTTTAGAATGGATCTAAACTTAGACTGGATGAATAACAATGCCATGTATTAAAAATACACCATCTCGCTACTTATTCTGTATGGCACAAGTACATTATTT